TTAGTCATATCTGACTGTACATCCTGACACAGCTGTGGTGTAGTGACCAGGAAGCCTCTGATTCACATTTTGCTTCTCCATTGAACTCACACTTCCTCAGTCTTTATGCCAATCCATCTGCATATGGAATGTGAAAAGCACTGTTACAAGGAGTACAAGATAACGTAGATGAAACTTTTTCTTCTTCTTCTTTAATGCTTTGAAATGCCATATAAATCTATGTAGCCTTTTCATAAAGTTTCCTTTCCAGCAAGGAAAATTATGGCCGGTATTCCACACACGCGTTCTATCAGCACCAAGTCTTTTGACTGCGCAGCAGAACTTCCCTCCCCACTCCCCTCTGCTATGGGATTTTCTCCAACCCTGCAAAACAAATTGGGGGAGGAGGCAGGGCACACTGGGAGAAGAGATGGGGTAGTTCTGCTGCGCAAATGGAAATCCTTGCACTAACAGAACCAGTACATTGGCTACTACTCCTATGTGTGGGAGCAGTTTCTCTGCTTTGCTGGATCATGGAGAAAAGAAGAGTCCTCACTTTAAAGTAGCATGTGAATAGAAGGACTGCAAATGCCATTGAATGCAGCCTTTGGCAGATGGGCTTTTGCAATCTCTCATTTCACTTGGGAAGTTGTCTCCCAAAATACATGCTTCAGATGGTAGGGCTACTCACATATGGAAGAAAAAGATGTTTGAGCAACTTCTGAACCTGTAACGGATCCACATGTTGGGGAAAGGAAGGGCCAAATTGGTCAGTCACCAGGGATGAGGAAGAGATTTTGTCTTTTCTTATGCATTTCAGTCTTATACATGTTTACACAGAAACAAGCCCTTCTGAGTTCACTGTGGCTTGCTCCCAAGTAAGTGTACATAGGATTGCAGCTTTAGCACATGGCAGTAATTAAAGTTGCTCTGCAGGTATTTCAAGGTGGGTCCCCCTGGCTGTTCCCACTCTCTCTTTATGCAGAATTGTATTCTAGGTGATGCAAGTTCAGGAGTAAGGAGCTGATCATTACAGATAATTTCTACAGCTCTGTTCAGCATGCAGTGCTCAATTTTTCATTCAACACTGTAAGAATTACATCCAATATAGATTACATCATGCCCAATAAGAGCCTCAAATTTACACTGATACTACATTACTCTAATAGAAACCCTTCATGTCTGTTGACAAACAACTCAGATCTTCCCTCCAGACCAGTCCAAACAACAGTAATGCAAGTCCATTAAGCCTTAATTTTATTTCAACTGAAATGTCTCACCTGTGGTATTTTAGGTTTTTATTTAAGGCCCTGAAGCTGTCTTTTTAGACAGTTCATCTTTTTGGACAGCTCATCAGATTCCCAAGTCCTTGCTGTAGTCCAGCACTTAAGAGTGAAAGGGTCACCCAATCCCACAGGAAGCTGAGTGATCCCTGATAAATCTGATTAGCTGCAAACATTTCCACATCAGCTATCAAGGCTTAACTGAACAACAGGAATCTTTTTTGCTGCATTGTGTTCCTGTGACTTCCACCTTCTTCACTGAAATTTGTCTCCATTGACCCTCCTCTTCTTGTGCTCGTCTAAACTCCAGATCCTGCTCCTGGTCTTCCTGACAAAACTTTGCATGGATAAGGAGAGCCTGATGGATTAAGCTAATGACCCATCTAGTCCAGTATCCTGTTCTCACACTGGCTAACGAGATACCCAAGGAAAACTCACAAGCAAGACCTGGGTGCAACAGTACTCTTCCCTCCTGCAATTTCTAGCAACTGGCATTCAGGAGCATTACTCCTTCTGACAGTGGAGGTGAACATAGCCAGCATGCCTACTGGCCACTGATACCCTTTTCCTCCATGAATTGGTCCAATCCTATTTTAAAACCATCCAAGTTGGTGGCCATCAGCGCCTCTTGTGAGAGCAAATCCCATAGTTTAATGATGCACTGCATGAAGTACATACTTTTGTCTGTCCTGAATCTTCTAACATTCAGCTTCATGTTCTGGTGTCATAAGGGCGAAAAACTTTTCTCTGTCCATTTTCTCTATGCCATACATGATTTTATAAGGGACGCGGGTGGCGCTGTGGGTTAAACCACAGAGCCGAGGACATGCCGATCAGAAGGTCGGCGGTTCGAATCCCCATGACGGGGTGAGCTCCCGTTGCTCAGTCCCTGCTCCTGCCAACCTAGCAGTTCGAAAGCATGTCAAAGTGCGAGTAGATCAATAGGTACCGCTCCGGCGGGAAGGTAAACGGCGTTTCTGTGCGCTGCTCTGGTTCGCCAGAAGCGGCTTAGTCATGCTGGCCACATGACCCAGAAGCTGTACGCCGGCTCCCTTGGCCAATAAAGCGAGATGAGCGCCGCAACCCCAGAGTCGGCCACGACTGGACCTAATGGTCAGGGGTCCCTTTACCTTTACCTATAATGTCTCCCGTCTTCTAAATGTTGGATTCTCTAGCAACAACAACCCAAATGTACAAGGTATAACATCTTCCCCCCTTTCATAAATTAAATATTAAGTTATCAGGACAGAGTAGTTCTCAGGACAGTGTCTCATAGTGCAACAAATTTAATCCAGTTTGAAACCCATTTAATTGTAAGACGCTTCCCTTCCTGGCTCCAAATGCTGGGGCTTAAGTGGCCTTTGTCAATGCTCTGTAGCCTCTTCTCAGAACTGCAGTTCCCAGGGCTCCTTGGGTGACAGCCAAATCAGTACAAGAGGCTTGATAAACTGGTTTGGATTTATAGAGTCCCGAGAATATGCTGGGTGTTATTCGCACCAGCCAGAGTGTCATGGTTCTGCTTTTTGAAGTTCCTCTCAGCAATGCCCAATGGGGAAGTAGGTTCTCCTTTGAGTTTTGTATAAGGAATTCATGAATTCACTTGCGGGCAATTCTAATAGCCTCTGAAACTGCTGGTTATGTTCTGTGTTATCCACATCCAGAACATGCCTTCTCCCCTGCAAAATTATTTCTAAAATTCAGCATCAAAGTAATGCAAGCACAACAAAGTTGAATATATTAAACTGCCTTATATCAGGCTATGGGTCCACCTACCTCACTATATTCTGCTAATCTGACTCCAGGTGGCTCCATGAGATTTCAAGCAGTGGTCTTTTCCTGCCCGCCTACCCAAGTTCCTTGGCCTGGGGTCTCCCATGTGGCCTTCTATGTTTCCTTATCTGGCCCTCAGGACTCTCCTGGACCATGCCTCTTCCCCAGGTCACACCCTGCATCAGTTCTCCTCTGTGCCCTCCTTGGCTGCTTTTGCCTGGCTGGAATATAATGCTTTGTACCTAGAAGATGGAGATATGTGGGTGGATGTAGACATCTCTGATGTTCATAAGGCTGGAATGTAGCCTTTTGTGCGAAGGTGTGAGTCACATCCATTAAAGCTCTGCCCACTTTTGCCTGCAGCCCTGCCCACTGCTGACATGCGGCCCCTAGAAGGTTGCCTATGAGGTCGTATGGCCCTCAAACTGAAAAAGGCTCCCCCTTCGGCTTTAATGATGCCAAGAGCCGTATATTGAGTTTTCCCATGCATGTTAGGTGTTCTACCTTTGAGCTGCGATCCTCAAGCCCAATATTTTGTGAACATTCTGATAAACGAGAAAAGCACATGTTCATTGTATGTCAACGTTAACTGTATGCAGGTCATCTCAATGGAGCTTATGTGGGGAGAATCTCCTGGTGGATTATGCTCTGTGGGGTGCCAGGGACTGGCAGGGCCCTGATGAGGGTGCGATGGAGGCAACAGGGCCAGAGGAGGACCCAGGAAAGGGGGGCAGCAATTTATGGGGTTTAGGAGAAGGGTCCTAGCAGTCAGAGAAGGAGGTGGGGGCACAGGGCAGGTTGGAAGCAGAAGACGAGGATGATCAGATGAGGGATGGGCCAGTCAAACTGCTGCCGCCATGTACCCTGCTGTCTCCTAAGAACCAGGAGGGGCTTGAAGAGGCAAGCACAGCAACGGCTTCCAGGAAGCAGTCGTCTCAGGTTGCATGTGCACACTCCATCAGACAAGGGTACATAAACCTGGGGGTGCATAGTCCCACTGTTGCGTCAAATGCTCCACTAGGCACAGATCTGGAAAATAGCTATGAAGGCACTAGAAGTGTGTGTGCTTTTGTCAACAAAGTATTAACTAGCCGGCATTTGCCTTCCTTGGCTGGGTGTGAACAGGACATGGGGTTAGCTCTCCCTCCCATTCTTCCTGGTGCCCACACTCTGCTGCCTGAAGTATCCTTCTCACCTTGCTCTGTGGCAAGAGTGTCTCTATACATGAGGACTACATGAGTAATGGTTGTAGCACTGGATTCTATTTTTGTAAATAAAGCTGAACAAAGAATCCACTTGCTAAGGAATTCAGAGTTCAACTGATTTGTTAGCAAACTCCTGGCGCTGATAAAACACTTACATAAAATTACCGATGAATATTTGTTATCTTGTGCAGATTACATTTCTTCCCCACATTAGAACTGGATCCCATGGAATCAAATGTGCGCTTAACTATTTGTTTTACAAAGCAGAAGTGGAACAGCCCAGTTAAACCAGCTCACCTTCATTCCAGAGCATTTTTTGCATACCATGTAATTTCCTTGTCTTAATTTTTTTAAAGCACCTGTTTTACTTGGGCACAATCCAAACAAAGTTAAGCACTTGTCAGTCCCAGGAAAATCAATGGGATTAGAATGCGCTTAGCTTTGGCTGGACTGTGCCCTTAATGTTTTGCTAAATCTCAGGATGGTTGCATATATTCCAAAGTTACTCTTTTGAATAAAGAACCTTCTTTAACAATTCCTGGACTATTCCTGCCAAGAAAAGCAGAAGAGGCATTTTAATACATACATTTTTAGCAATTCTGGGAAGATACCTAGACAGTGAAGGAAAATGACTATTGTGTTCTGAATCTATCCATTTTTCTTTACCCATCTGTTATTTATATGTGGATGCAAAAAGAGTTTTGACTTCCAGCACAAAGGAAAAGCCTCCGTTCTACACCAAAAACCAGGGATGCCCTTAACGTTAAAAGCAAGATCTGAAGACAAGGATGGGAGCAGCCCTCTGCAAAGATTTACAAACAAACAAAATAAATATAGATAAATAAATAAATGCTAACCAGAAAGTAACCACTAACAAGGATTGTTCCTCCCGCCCTGCCCCCCCCCTCCGCCCCATCTCAACCCACTGCAATTGTTTTTTAATATGCTTTTAATGACCTGGTCTCCTCATACCTACCTCCTTGCTTCCCAAACTGTTTGTACTGTCCCCAATAACACTCAGTGGAAAGCTGTCACTCCTGCCTAAATCCTTCCTTAGGTTGGATGCGATGCCGACGTTAGACAGGGTCAAGAGGTCACCATCGATTTTGGAGGCCACCTGGAGAGTCCAGGCCGTGAACTGACTCAAAAAATTTATATCAGAGCTGGAATGGCCCACCTCCCAGGGTTAGGCCTTGGCGAACATTCTGCCAGCAGGATGGGGCCTGCCTGCCCCAGCTCAGAAAGAGGCCAGAGTTGTTGACCCTGTTAGCTGACCTCTTCAAACTTCTGGAGAATTTTTCTGGCAGTTACCACGGCGACTGGGCACTCCAAGCTTATCCTTCTTACTGGAAGGGGGGCGGAATTAAGAAGAAAAAATGTTAAAATCTATCTTGCAGAGATGCCTATCAGAGATCAAATACATAAAATGTTTTAATTGTTTGCTTTCTGCGCTGTCTGCTCTGCCATTAAGTTCAAAATTCTAACATCAAGAAGACAATTAATATAAAAAAAATGTTTTGAGTTTCCCATTAAAAGTGAGGAGCGGTGCTTAGAACAAGTGGCGTTGCCTCTTCCACCACAACAGCTACTTCAAGATGTGCTGGTTAAAAACCAGAGCCAAGCTTGTAAATACAGTCCAACCAATAATTTCACCACCAACAGCAACAACTAAAAGCCCCCACACCAAAACTTTATTGGCTTCTCCTTTTTCAAATAGTCCGATATAAACACAATTTTTAAAAAAAAGAAAAAATCCTGTCTGGTATAAATACTAATTGTCTCCTTCTTAAAACTATCCAAAGTAAATATTATATTATAAAACGATAGCTGCATCCACGGGAGGGAGGGAGGGAGTAGAGGTACCTACTGGCTTTCAGGAAAGGGTGTCAATTACTGGATGTAAGCAAAGTCGAAAAGAAAGTTTGTGTGCCTTAGCAAGTGCTCCAAAGGATATGAGGAGCAATCCTAAGCATGCTCATAAATAAATCTCACTGAATTCAGTGGGATTTTGAGTCTCTTCACAGAACTAAGTTCATAAAGTTTCTTAGTGTCTGGAAATTAAACAGAGAGAAAAGTGGTTCAGTGTGTCATGTAGACTCCATAAGACTCCTCTTCAGGATTCTCTTCCTGCCCCTCAATTCTTTATTTAGGAATTAACACAGTACTGCAAAATCACCCTTATATGACAAGATATAAAATATCAAATAATGTTTTGGTGAAAGAGTGAACAATGGGAGTAATGGAGTACAGCAGAATATCAAATGCATAAAAATGAATCAATGAGCTAATTATATTTAATCAAGAAAACAAGTTTCAAGAGGCTAATGGAAATGGGAAGAAACCAAAAAAGTATGGGTAGAGGAGGCAATAAGAAGAATATTCTGCAAAACAATAGCTGTAGAGATATATCGTTATAAGAAGACAACAAATCTCTAAGCAAAATTGTTAAGAATAGTCTGAATGTTGAGGCTTTAGCTTCCAATGTGCAAGAGTGTGTTCAAAAGGAGTCCTTTTGCTCTTTGCGCCAGACCAATCCACGTTGCAGTAAGCTAACTGAACTTTAGATTCAAGCATAGATTCATAGAATTTTAGAGTTGGAAGGGACCATGGAGGCCCATTAAAAGGTAAAGGTAAAGGGACCCCTGACCATTAGGTCCAGTCATGGCCGACTCTGGGGTTGCGGCACTCATCTTGCTTTATTGGCCGAGGGAGCCGATGTCCAGCTTCCGGGTCATGTGGCCAGCATGACTAAGCGGCTTCTGGCGAACCAGAGCAGCGCATGGAAATGCCGTTTACCTTCCCGCCAGAGAGGTACCTATTTATCTACTTGCACTATGACGTGCTTTCGAACTGCTAGGTTGGGAGGAGCAGGGACCAAACAATGGGAGCTCACCCTGTCGCGGGGATTCGAACCGTCGACCTTCTGATCGGCAAGCCCTAGGCTCTGTGATTTAACCCACAGCGCCACCCGCATCCCCATGGAGGCCCATTACTTTGGGCCAATCAGTGCACATAGCAAATGGCCATGATCCAGAATTCAGAATGCTCACAACTCAATTCACAATCCAAGACACGCATCCCATGCTTCTGCAAAGCATCCAAGGTTGGATTGTGTCCAGCAGAAGATTGGTGTGCCTGGATCAGGTTCCCGGTAGATAGCCATGTTAGCCTACTGCAGCAAAAATGTTAAGGAGACAACTTGAAGCTGAATAAATTTGCAATAAAAAATAACTTTTAAGAAGACTAACAAATTTATCGCAATGCAAGCTTTTGTTAGCTAGAGTCCATTTCATCAGATGCATGGCATATGGGCACTTTTGTAAGGTTGGTGCAAGCTGAAGCAATCACATCGTGATTTGAAATGTGAGTAGATACACCCAGTCCACATTCTCAACATTCGGCTTTCTCTTTGAAAACAGAAGTACATACAGGCAGCTGCAATTGGAGACTGGGGAAGAAAGATCTTCCCAGAGCCCCTCCAACCTCAAGTCTTCTGTTTATCAGTGCCAAACACACCACACCTGCAACCTTTCTATGAATTCTGCCAGCCAGGGTGGACAATGCTGGCTTAGATGGACCATTAGTCTGACATTATAAGGCAGCTTCTTCTGCCTTGTACAGAAACCGGCTCCAAATCTCCGGCCTCTGCAACAGAACTATGTCATTCAGAGAGGGGTGGATGTGTTATAGTGAACACTGAATGTAGCAGCTCACTGGGTTCATTGAGTGATCAGTTGGGACAGTGAAGCTTTTCTTTTGACATTTTCTGTCACATTCTTGTGGAACAGCTCTGTCCATCCGAGAGCGTGCCCTTCCTGGTTGCTGATGAACTCATGCTGTGGGTTGGTGATTCACATGAGAACCATGGTGCCAACTCATTCCCGGGTGACATGGTAAAATGCTGACTGTTCTGCCCACAGCCAAGCACCCCCTTGGCGACATTACAAAAAAAAGGCCTTGCGGCTGGTAGAGCTGTGAGCTCCTCAGACCGGAAATGAAATCTCAGTCTAGTTTGAAAGCAGAAAAGCCTGAAGTGGTAGGATTTCACAAGAAAGCCTGCAGCTCCTGAGTCACACACTTCATGGGGAGGAGATCCGCTGGATGTTGGTAGGATGCAGAGGTATAATGAGGCCAGAAAAGAAGACTGGACTTCTGTATCATTAATTGTGTAGCAGAGGGAGGTTGGAAAAGTACACATTTTCTTATGTCTACAACACTGTGACAGTGATAAACTGTACCATCAGAACACTCTCTTCTGCATTTATTAGATGCACAGAAGTGCTGACTTCCACTTCACTTCCATATCTAATTTCAACCTATGCTTGGGATGGGAATAAGCCAAGGCTATCACAGACCTACCTCCATTGATTCCACCATTTGCTGCCTGGTGGCGCTGGCACTGTGGGTTAAACCACAAAGCCTAGGACTTGCCAATCAGAAGGTCAGCGGTTCAAATCCCTGCAACGGGGTGAGCTCCTGTTGCTTGGTCCCTGCTCCTGCCAACCTAGCAGTTCAAAAGCACGTCAAAGTGCAAGTAGATAAATAGGTACCGCTCCGGCGGGAAGGTAAACGGCGTTTCCGTGCGCTGCTCTGGTTCGCCAGAAGTGGCTTAGTCATGCTGGCCACATGACATGGAAGCTGTACGCCAGCTCCCTCGGCCAATAAAACGAGATGAGTGCCGCAACCCCAGAGTCGGCCACGACTGGACCTAATGGTCAGGGGTCCCTTTACCTTTGCAGCTCAGTATGCATGTGCTGATGTGACTTAGGAGAGGGGAAGATTCACAAGCTGGTGGCTCAGAAGGGACATGCCCCACAACCCGCTTTGTTTTGTGGGGGGAAGGTGTCCTAACCTGCCTTCCTTTTGTTACAGTCTGGGCCACCAGCTTTTATTTCCTCCATGGAAATAAATATCTCCCTTCATGGCTATCTATGGAGAAACATTTTGCAAAAAGCATTCACAAGGGTGCCCAACAAATCATTTATTTCCATTTTGCTCAGCTGTATTCTCACAATATCTGCTCCCACACTGGCCAAACCTAGTCCTGTCTCCTGCTCATTTTCTCCTTTGTCTGTTCCTTTTGCCACCTGCTAAATGTTTACCATCCTGCCATCAACCCTGCAAACATACTCATTTTCCCCCAGGTAAGAAAGTGAACAAAAGAAGTTTGTGCAAAACCTTGCTTGCATTGTCCACATCCTGCCTGTTCATTGTATCCCTGAATCCACTACCATGCTTCTGAGGCATAAGACCCCTGCAGGATTCTAAATAAAAGCAGACATACTCAATGGATTAATAATATAAAAAAACAAGCATTCATACTGGATGGTTTTAGGCAAGTCATTATATCCTGACCTGCACACCTCTAGCATGAGCAGTGCCTACCTCACATTATAATACATTTTGTACTTCAGAAGTGGAAATAGACCACCTCCAAGCATGTTGTATAGATGACCCTTTTGATCCAAACAGGTTTGTGGGCATACATAAATGAGAATCATTTCTAGCGCCATGCAGTAAATAGAAGACAATACTCCAAAACTAAATTCAAAACTCTCTCTTTCCTCAGGTGCTGATGAGTGGGATGAAGCAGAGGGTGAATGTGACCTGAAAAACCAAACATATGCCGAAACAAGCCAAAATTTGCAAGGATCTACATTGGTCAACCAGAATCAGCAAGGATATATGTCTGCAGCCATCCCCACTGTTCCCTGTTGGATGAGGACTGAAGACCACATCAAGAGCAGCAGGAATGAGTATGGTGGAGTGCTTAAGTTACAGGAGTCCACAAATCATCTTTGTGATGTCCCCATAGCTACTGTTTTTCATAGCTTCTGGGGGTGGAGTTTGTGGGCTTTCTTAAGGACTGTCCATTTTCGCACACACATTAATCCAAGCACTGATCAGGCGGTGAATCTCCATTGGCCAAACTTGGCCAACTTTTCCCTACTGACCCCAAATCAGTGGTTGTGCAGTAGACTAGAGGTTCCAAAGGGGGAAGGAACAGCTGAGTACTCAAATGCATAGTGTTATGGCATCCCAATAGAACTCTTTCCTCCTCTGGTTTCCTGTAACTGGTATTCATAAATATTACTGCCTCTGACTGGCTAGTAGCCACTTATATCCTAATCCAAATTCCATAATTCACCTGTGAGATGTGTGATTAAGTACACCCATTTGTCAATCCTGAAGCTTCCAACTTTCAGCTTCATTGTTCTAATGCTATGAGAGAGGCAGGAAAACTACTCTTTAAGCATTTTCTCCATGCCATGCATAATTTTCACTAACTACTGCAACCACCTCCTGTCAACCTAGCAGTTCAAAAGCACGTCAAAGTAGGTAAATAGGTACCGCTCCAGCGGGAAGGTAAACGGCATTTCCGTGCACTGCTCTGGTTCACCAGAAGCGGCTAAGTCATGCTGGCCTCATGACCTGTACGCCGGCTCCCTCGGCCAATAAAGCGAGATGAGCGTCGCAACCCCAGAGTCGGCCACCACTGTATCTAATGGTCAAGGGTCCCTTTACCTTTACCTTACTGTAACCACACAGGTTCTTAACTTCTGCTACACAGAGACACACAAAAACAAAGAAAATCTCAGATCTTAATACTCCAAGTGTTCAAGAACCAATTAAATGGAACAAAAAAAAATCACTTGAATATTGCTCAGATTCCAGCACTCCATCCCAATTCTGGACTTTCCTGAGAAAGAATGAGTCAGGTTTTATTTGCATTGCCATTAATCCCTAGGCAAGGTCATAGCTGTCAACTTACAGATTTGAAAATAAGGGACCAGCAGCCTTGAAAATAAGGGACCAGCAGCCAAAATAAGGGACCTGCAGCCTCACCTGTTCCAGGCACTCCAGTCTTCCTGTCCTCCTGCAGTCTGGTCAAACTCATGCTAGGTAGCTTCGAGAACACTGCCAAACCAACTTTGTAACCAGAGGTTCAACTGAATAGAATCTGAATCACATGCACCACAAGGCCTATGCAGCCTCAACTTAAGATGGCTCCCTGGCCTGGCTTTGCACTGCAAAGTTTGCAGCAGCACGTGCAACAAAATGGTGTCCAGCATTCAAAAACCCCCTCAGCTTGCATTAACTAGCCACACACAAGGCATGCAAGCTCCACCCCCCAGTTGTTCTTAGACTTCTTATTGGGTGAGCAACACAGCCAAGCAACACAGTTGGAGCCTCCCTCCTCCCTGGCCAGCAGGGAGGGAGGGAGAGGAGCTGCTTCCTTTGAAATTTAAGGGACATAATTTAAGGGGCATTTAAGGGACATCCATCAATAAGGGACAGCAGCGGGACATGGCGCTGGAATAAGGGACTGTCCCTTCAAATAAGGGACACTTGAAAGCTATGGGCAAGATACAGATGGAGAACAGGGTTGAGGACCAAACAGGATGTGTGTTTTTTCTAACAGTGAGATTAGCAACTACAGTGAGGAGTCAATAATCATCTATACCACATTTACTAAAGATTTTTTCAGAATATTTCCACAGTGTCCTGATGTGGACACAAGTAAAAGGATCTGTGAGTCAACATCCCATCTGCTGAAGTGTGTGTAAGCACTATGATGTCATTAATTGCCCCATTGTGATCTGGCGTGCATGGGTTATTCTGCCAGTGGTTGTGATATATGTGTGTGAAGTGAGTGAGTGTGAACATGAAGGATCTTGAATTTTTTTGGCTAATACAGGCTTCACCAACCTGGTGCCCTCCCATCAGCCACAGCCAGCAGGTTGGCAAAGCCTGGTCTAATACACAGTCTCTTGGAAGAAGGTGACAGCTTGCCCTGTAATTGCATGGAGTTATTTGTGTGGTATAGTATTTTTAACCTCCATACCCTCCCTGTGATTAAAAACAACAATAATATGTTTGCCCTCATAAACGGTGTGCTTTTTAATTTTTATTAGCACATTGTGACAGGGATGCCTGCAATTGATTTTTTCACCCTCCTCTTGCTAATCAGCCTGGAGAACCCTCTCAGCTGTAATTAAAGCCCATATTACAGGCCTCTTGGTGTTCACTTGTCTCTTAGCTTACTGTGCCATGAAATACCGTACATCAAATGGAGTACTACTGTACAAGATAGGCTCCCTGCCAACTCCCGGGGCTATTATACAAGCTTGCCTTTCGTGCTAGAATCATCTCAGGCACAACATCAAGAGAAAAATGGAAGCAATCTTTGGAGAAGGGGAGATAGAAAGAGGGGCATTGGTTGTGGGGAAGGGGGGCAACGTGTGGCCTCCTATAGTTTGTTCTTCATGAGGCTGCAGCCAGTGGTGGACCCACATTTTGGGGGCCCTGAACTGCTATGCAGGCCCCTTCACAACCAGCAACAAGTTCTGGGTAACCACTGTTATCTTCTTCAATGGGGTTGTTCCACAATAATAATACCCCACTCATCTGGCTGGGTTTCCCCAGCCACTCTGGGTGGCTTCCAACAAAGATTAAAAATATATTAAAACATCAGTCATTAAAAACTTCCCTAAAGAGGGCTGCCTTCAGATGTCTTCTAAACGTCAGGTACCGGTAGTTGTTTTTCTCTTTGACATCGGATGGGAGGGTGTTCCACAGAGCGGGCGCCATTACTGAGAAGGCCCTCTGCCTGGTTCCCTGTAGCTTGGCTTCTCGCAGTGAGGGAACCGCCAGAAGGCCCTCAGTGCTGGATCTCAGTGTCCGGGCAAGACAGATCACCACCATTTTAAAAAGAAATTTAGTTAACTACTGCATTTCAGATTTTGATTTAAAATGTTGTGCTGGATTATCCCACATGTCAAAGTCACTGGTGTGAATAAAAAATTCCTATGCCTTATGGTTTTCGAGTTATGAGGAGCGGACTGAGGGAAAATGAGGAAAATACTATATATATGCATAATGGAATATTTAAAACTTTTTTTTAAAAAAGCAATGTGGACTAAAGTTAATTATGGAGCCCCTGTGGGATTAGAGACCCTGAAGTTTAAGCTGTGAGCCTCCCTGAGACTTGCAGGTATATAAATTCAATAAATAAATAAATAAATAAGCTTTGGCCGCCTCATGAGAAGACTCCCTGGAATAGACCCTGATGCTGGGAAAGATTGAGGGCACAAGGAGAAGGGGACGACAGAGGACGAGATGGTGGGACGGTGTTCTCAAAGCTACCAGCATGAGTTTGACCAAACTGCAGAGGCAGTGGAAGACAGGAATGCCTGGCGTGCTCTGGTCCATGGGGTCACGAAGAGTCGGACACGACTAAACGACTAAACAACAACAAATTAGTTTCATAGTAAATACGCCCCTGGCTGCAACAAGCTATTCTGGAGTGTTCTCATTAACTTCAGGGGCATCTTCAGAGCAAGTGCTGTGACGGTTCGTGTTTGTGAAGATTCAAGATTCTAAGGTGGAAACATATCTCATGGGGACACTTAGGAATGTGGTGCTATGTGGGGCAACTGAATTACCCGCAGAGTAACTTTTATTTAAAAGTCTCTACTCACCCACTTCATACATCTGATAAAGGAAATTGCTGCTGCTATTTGTAATTGCTGATGTCATAATAAGGTATCGAAGGAGAAGCATTATCATAAAGCATTGCTTCCTGTTTCACTGATGATACTAAATACAGTGGTACCTCGGGTTAAGAACTTAATTCGTTCGGAGGTCCGTTCTTAACCTGAAACTGTTCTTAACCTGAAGCACCACTTTAGCTAATGGGGCCTCCCGCTGCCGCCGTGCCACCACCGTGCGAATTCTGTTCTTATCCTGAAGCAAAGTTCTTAACCCGAGGTACTATTTCTGGGTTAGCGGAGTCTGTAACCTGAAGCGTCTGTAACCTGAGGTACCACTGTAGGGGGGGAAATGGGGATAAGGTAGAATGTGACAGGGAATTTTTGCACCCATCTCACTGTCCCTCTAAGTAAAATGCACTGCCACTGTTGATCCTCTGCACTGTGCAGTCTTCAAACTAGTGATGTCCAAAAGATGCAGGGGGAATATTATTTCCATATAATTGTTCTCAGCTTAAAGCCAGATGACTGAATTTTTGCTTGCTCTGTTTTTGCTTTTGTTCATTGATTCTATATTGTTGGGTTGGGGAACCTGGGGATATTCATATGTTGCTGGACAAATCCCATCACCCCTGACTATTGGGTGTGCTGATTGGGGCTGATGAAAGTTGAAGTCTAACAACATCTAGCATCTAGGGTCACAGGTTCCAAATCCCAGTTTTACTGTCAATTCTTCAAGACCTCAGATGTCCCAGTGTATGGTTTTTTGCTCACAGGGACAATACATCATGTGCTTTGTAGTCAAGCCCTGCATATCAAAACCTACAACCACAATTCTGTATCCCCTTACCTGTGAGTAAACCCATTGTACTCAATGGGACATACTTGAGTGGAAACATGCATGGAATTAAGCTGAAAATCTATCCATGTTTACTTAAAAGTAAATCTCAATCAACATGATCCAACCAATGTCAAGCGCTTCTGTGTCGCTATGGAAAAACTCCTAAGCACTTTATTTATTTATTTATTTATTTTTATTTCTATGCCACTTTATATTTTTAAGAAAAATCTCAAAGCGGTTTACAGCATATTAATTCAATAAAACATAAATAAAACAATCTGAAGAAAGTCAAATATAGAGTATACAGTCAAAGCAACATAACAGAAAACTAAAATATTATCTTAAAAGCTTTCAAAATAAAACTTGCTTCTGTCTCCCATGGAAATCTATGGGACTTTGAAATCAAAATCAGATTGCAATGAAATCTCATCCCAGCTAACTTTACAATGATATATACTCTCAATGATTTTTTTCCCTGAAAACTATGTTGGCTCAGGTAGCCTAACAGCATAGTACACACACTGGAACTGACCTGAGTTAGCTGTGCTGATGCCAACCAACAGAGCAGCAGCATCTACAACAGAATTAAATCAAATTTACTGGATTATACATGACTTTCCTGGCACCTCAGCTCAAACTAGTTCAGATTAAGTATTTCGATTTGAAAACAATTTAGTGCCATTTGGGGACTAAAACTTCTTTCAAGAATTTGGCCTACGTGCGCTGTGAATCAGAATGCTTTCACTTTGAATCCAACTTTAAATCCAACCCAATCCTTGGAAATACTACCTGCTGTATTTAATAGGCCTTACCGCCCAGTGTCCTTAGAGGGACGCAGGTGGCGCCGTGGGTTAAACCACAGAGCCTAGGGCTTGCTGATCAGAAGGTCGGCGGTTTGAATCCCCGTGACGGCGTGAGCTCCCGTTGCTCGGTCCCTGCTCCTGCCAACCTAGCAGTTCGAAAGCACGTCAATGTGCAAGTAGATAAATAGGTACCACTGTGGCGGGAAGGTAAACGGTGTTTCTGTGCGCTGCTCTGGTTCGCCAGAAGCGGCTTAGTCATGCTGGCCACATGACCCGGAAGCTGTATGCCAGCTCCCTCAGCCAGTAAAGCGAGATGAGCGCCGCAACCCCAGAGTCGGCCACGACAGGACCTAATGGTCAGGGGTCCCTTTACCTTTACCCAGTGTCCTTAGAAAGAGCTGCAGACTTGCTTTTGTTAATACTGTAGCAGGGTTGGGGAGCTTATGGTCCTCTGGGTGTTGCTGAACTCCAATTCTCATCAGCCCCAGCCGGCATGGTCAATGGTGAAGGATGATGGGAGCTGCAGTCCAGCAATATTTAGAGGGCTGCATCCCTGGTATACAGCTATCTGCACATTTACCTGGGGAAATTTCCTAATAAATAGAGGGGCTTACTTTCCAACACAGTCAGAGACTGGTTTGTTGGCAAATTTCTCAAGAGCATGAAATTATCTCTCTCTTCCACCTCCCCCAGAGGGTGAGGAGGAATCACTGAAACAAACTGGATTTGATCCAATTGCGGACTACAGGAGAGTAACACTTGGTATTCTTATCATGTGGCAGAACTAGAAATACTACTGCAACTACTACTACTACTACTTATGTTAATACTGATGATAGTAATAGTAGCCATCCCAAGGACAATTTTTATTTTTCATATGAAGGCAGTTTCCCGACACTGTAAACCTTTACCTGGGAGTAAGACTCACTGAGTGGGGCTCACTTCTCAGTGGACATGCATAGAGTTGTTCACACATTTCTAAAATAAGCTCTGTGGAAAGTTTGTGTGTGTGTGTGTGTGTGTGTATCTGTACAGTGGTACCTCTGGTTACGTACTTAATTCATTCCGGAGGTCCGTTCTTAACCTGAAACTGTTCTTAACCTGAAGCACCACTTTAGCTAATGGGACCTCCTGCTGCTGCTGCGCCACCGCCACGCGATTTCTGTTCTCATCCTGAAGCGAAGTTCTTAACTCGAGGTACTATTTCTGGGATAGCGGAGTCTGTAACCTGAAGCGTCTGTAACCCGAGGTACCACTGTATATTATTTGCGAAGTGTGGGCATCATAGGAGCCAACTCCTAGGGATCAAGGTCCCTTCACCCCCTATAAAATATTTGATTGGGCCAGGGTCGCCTCCCTCCCCCCCAAGTTGAAAGCCATTGCCATTTGAATGGTGTGCATGTGTAGCATCTTGTGATCAGTTCTGCAGGGTGGTGCTTACCTGGGCCTCCCCAGTATTTAATTCAAATTGACACCCCTGCAGTGGGTCAGGGGGCCTCAAGCGTTTCAGTTTTCATGGGGCCAGTTAAGCTCCCAGTTCCAAAACCTTTCCACTTTTAAAAGCGAAAGAGAAACAGCCAACTGAAGACGTGATCAAAACAGAGACACTAGAGCCGAACAGGCCCTGAGAGAAAACCATAGTGAGCAATGCCCTGTAGGGCTACAGAGAATAAACTGACCAGTCGCGGGGCAAAGTAGCAAACGCTTTTTGGTCGCGCTTGGGTATTATTTTTTCCAGGCAGGGTCAAACTCCTTTGGGCTGCGCAATCCTCCGCTTTTGAGTGAGGCCCGATGAACGCTTCTGTACATTAATGCCTGCGCCCACCTCGATTCCCCTCCCCTTGTTTCTCACCACTCTCCTGTTCTCTCGGGAGGGGGAAGCAGGCCAGCGGATAATTGCAACCCCCTCCCTTCAATCCTCAGAGCTGCGCTAATCCGAAAACTCAAGTGCCCGTAAGTAAAACTTCAGGGGGGGAAAGTGATTGAAACTGACAAATACAGGGTGACAAATAATCAATAAAAGCCCAGTTCGACATCCTTCATTGTTTTCAGGCACTAACGGCAAGTAATGAAACCTCTGCTGGAAGGGAGAAGGAGAAGGCGGCGGGCAGGCAGGGGGTCGCCCCCCACTTGGAGACCTTCTGCGGGGGAGTCCCCGGCTCCAGAAGCCGGATTAATGGCCTCACCTCATAGGCAGATCTGGTCTTCTCATCAACCTTAATTAAAATCATTTTTAAAATGTCGGGGCTCTGCCTTCAGCGTGGGGGGAAACGGTTGGCTGCGGGCTTCCTTTGGGTAACGAATCGCTTTTTATTTGGGGTGGGTCACTCCCCTCCCTCCAATTTCTTGTTGACTAACAAGCAGGTGATTCGTAACATCCTAATGCTGGTCACCTTGGAGCGGAGCGCCGAAGTGCGGAAATACGTTTTTAAACAAAAAGCCATCGGGTCAGTTGTGCGCAAACGAAAAGGAGCAGCAAAAAAGTCCCCACGCCGTTGTGTTTAGGGTTAGGCGTCGACTCTCAGCTTGGTTGACTTTGCTTATTTGTTTCGTTCGAGCCCCCGGCTTTTCAACCAAGATGGGCTTACAGTGAAAAATCTGCGCAGAGGTATAATATCATTGGGGACACGTGTTGGAGGGAGGAATGAGGTGGGAGAGGTTCTCCCTTCCGGCCCCAGGGAGTTGGCGCTGCAAAACAGACTCCTGCCACTTCTCTCCCAAGCTGGAGGGGGGTGGGCGAGGAAGCCGCAGCTGAGCTCAGGGACTGGCTGATGGGTAAGGATGCCAGGCCACAGAAGCAACCCTAAAAATCATGCTCGGAGAAGACCTCCCTGAAATGAACGGGTTTAAGTTAGTCATGGGTGTACTCTGAGCAGAATTAACAATACACACACACAAGCTCCCTATGTCCATTACTTGGAGGTAAGTTTCACTGAAATAACTGAATTGCTTTTAAAAGTATAGGATTCAGGATCCAAGTGTCACCGATTCTCTGTCCGGAAGGGTGCGATCCCTCCTAAAGCGCCTTACTAAGGAGTTAAGAAGCATATTTAGCAATTCCGCGACGCGAGGGGAACACGGATGAAACGTAAAACATGCACGTGCCCAAACAATTCGTATGCGAACACACGTGTCGTATAACATCGCTAATGCCACACGCCGTGTTTATCCAGAAGGATAGGAAAGGCAGTTTTGCACGTCCTTTACGCCCTTTTCTAAATGCTATTACATTAGAAGCAGATCTTATTGAGTCAATGAAACTTCTTTGGAAATAATAAGCGCGTGTATATGGATGCTTCAGGCTGCAGCCTTGTGCACCTTAACCCGAGAATAAGCGACACAGAATGTAGCGGGACTTACTTCCAAATCAACGCGTTTGTCTGTGTATTCCGTTTGCTCCCTCTCCCTTCCTCTCTCACACACATGCGAATAGGGCGTTAGACAAAAACGACGCCACAATCCTATACACGAATCTTCCCTATATTTACTCGGGAACAAACCCCACGAGACTGGAACCCAACCAGCTCAGCAAACGTAGGCCGGGCACGTTAGCATCTTAAAGCCGCGGTCTTAAATACACCTGAAGCAGCTATGGCTTGCAATAAGGTGTATTGTTCAGGATTCTGCTGCAAAAGCTGCTGTCCATCTAAGCTTTTCGCTTTGCCAGGGCAATTCCTTGTTTAACACCAACTCGGAATGTCCTGCAGTCCTGAAACAACTCGCTTCGACTTTGCTTGGCCCTAGATAGTGGATTGTGAGTCCCCACCCCAAGGACTTCAAGGGCTTCGCCTGCTTTTCGCAACTCGCTCCCAACACCCTTTTTAAAAGTGCGTGCAGGTGTGTGCCCCACTTCCTCAATCATATTTGTCAACCCATGGCCCATTATCTAGCTGAAATCTTGCTCGGTCCATCTTGTCCGCGGTCTCGCCAGGAAGGCCTTGAGAAACAAGACACAGTACCGTAGAGCAAGAAGGAGAGAGCCATTGCGAGTGTCCCTCTGTCTGCCCATCCTATGGAAAGGGACAGGCAGAAGCACACCTACGCACAGGGATGCCCTCAGGTTCCCTTCAGCGAATGTATCAACCGGATATAAGTCATTGAGCTGAGCTCCACACGTGTACAGCGATTCACACGTAACGTTCAAGAGTGCACAGCCTGTGTACCTGTGGACAAAAGAGCGGGACTGTACAGATCAACAAATGAACGTTCTTTCACACAAACACTGGTACGTGTCTACAGACCACTTGCGTCTGTGTTCAGTGTGATGCGGGAACAGGCCTCATACAAACCTTAGAAACATATCAGGCTTGGAAAAGGCAAATTTCAGAAAAGCAGCCTTCCTACTCAGATGCGCTGCTCTTCGGAATGTTACTGGAAACTAATTGCTGGGGTGCGATTAGATCAGGCACAGGCAAACTCGGCCCTCCAGATGTTTTGGGACTACAATTCCCATCATCCCTAACCACTGTTCCTGCTAGGGATGATGGGAGTTGTAGTCCCAAAACATCTGGAGGGCCTAGTTTGCCTATGCCTGGATTAGATGCTAGGAGATGAGATTTCCGCATCAACGTTATCGAATGGAGCCGCCAGCGCCAGCCTGCTCTCAAAATATGGCCAATGCCACCTTGTAGGCAACTGAGGCCTGCGCAACCATCTTCAGCCCTCGGGGACGCATATTATGGGTGGTGCCCGGGTACACCCAAGCCACAGAGAATATTCCCCTTCACACCTATGGGATCCCGATTGCTCCTACTGCCTCCCCACCCACACCCCCTGGGCAGCGCTTAGTCGAGACGGTTTTTGTCTTTCCGGGCGCCTGCTCGCCTTGACCTCTTGCTTCAAGGCGGTTGTCTGGCCAGGTCAGGCGGGAAGCAGACGCTGCCTGGACCCGTTCGGCGACCGGCTCGGGAGTGTCTCTCCGCATTAAAATCTGATCGATCAGGTTCCAGGGCCTACAGGAAGTGGAGTCGCTTCTCCTTGTCCAAACGGGAGCTTCTGGGGCTGCGCCAATGAAGCGCACTGTCACATAATCGATAAGGAGAGCTCAGCTGTCACGGATCCGAAAGGGGCTTCCGACGCCAGCAGTAACGTGATTTGGCACCTTCAGGTTTGGGGATGGGCAGCCTGGGCTACTAAGACGATGCGAGGGAAGAGACGGGCGGGGGCCAGAGGAGTGGGTGGGTGGGTGGCGGCCGCAACCCAGGAGTCTGAAGGGCTCCGGTTTGGCATTTTTGTTCAGATTCCTCTCCCTCGGGCGCACATTTTCAGCTCCACGATTTGGGGAAGGGGGGGGTGGGAGAGAGAGCTGATCCCTTACCGCCAAGTTTGCTGTTGTCATCCTGCCCCACTGTTCTCCAGGCCATCTCCGATACGTCTCGATTCAATTCCATGCCGAAAGCTGAAGAGCTCCTTGCATCTCCAAATGGTTTGGCAACCTGGACAGAAAGTTCAACGGGGAGTATTGTGAGACCACCACTTAAAACAAAAATTGATTTCCCCCCCCTCTCGCAATGGTAAATGCATGTTTTCGGAAGTGATTCTGACGGAACTTACTTCCAAGTAAGGCTGTGATTCTAACACTGTTACAAGAACGAAGTCAAAGAAGATTGCTAAGGATCGAAGGAGCAGTCCGTGGGCCACACCTGGATCCAGTGATCCAATAAACGGAGCTTCCAGGAGCTTCCAGTGTGTGAAGGACCTCATCGGGGCGTGTTAAAATAAGATTGCAACTCCCCACCCTTGCGCATCAGTCCAGGGGGGAATATGTAACCACCATTTGCAAAAGAGCAGCGATTCTATGGCTTAGTTTTTATTAACAACGCTAGAGCTACAGTAGTGGGGAAGTCTGCACCTGTTGGATTTATCCCTGTCACGCAGCAGTTAAAGGTATAAAAACCCTTCAAAGTAGTGGAGAAATTCTTTATAAAGAATTTGGAGATGTAGTTCGCGTTGGTTTTAGCCCTGCGCCCGATCCCAAGATTTAGGGGAGAAGCTGACCGCTTGACCTACAATTGAATTAAACCGAAGCGTTAGATAGAAATCAGTGGACCTTCAAGAGAGTAAATGTGCAGCGCCCAATCAACATACTTCGGAATAAATTCCGCCGACTTTAAACTTCCAGAATAAATATTGTTGGAGATGCGAAAATATTTGGATTTGAGCTAATGACTCTTGGGTGATTTGTCAACGTCACCTGCAGTGACTTTTTTTCTGAACTTTATTTTGAATAAGAAACCGGCAATAGTATGTTCGTGTATAGGGCTTAGCAAGGGAATGTTTCAGCTTCGGTGTAAGGTTGCTGCCTTTGAAATCGTGATCCGGTTAGCTTGTGGAAAGGGATCTTAGTTAATTCATAGTTAATGCGCAGCGTTCAGCGGGCACCTGGCTGTTGTTGTTCTCTGAATATTTAAAAGCACCCGTGTTCGATGATAAATTTATGAAAAACGAAGTGAACCCGGGGCTAGGAAAAGAAGGCTGCCAGGAAAGCCGAGTTTCTGATTGGTCGGGGAAGGGACTTCCGGGACTGGATTGGCTAATGCCGATGCCGGGAGTTACAACTATTGGATAATCTCATTGCCTGGGTCTTCTGCAGTGCTCTCCATAGAGCAGAAGGCGACGTTCTCCTGAAGGAGGGTGGGTTGCTCACGGGAGGGTATTTCCCCAATAGTTCAGCATCTGCGCTGGATCTCTGAGTATTTCCCGACAAAGTGTCAAATGCTCCTATATAGCACTAAAAATGTTTAAACGCGGGGGCTTAAAATATCTGATTGAGGGGTCCAACTATTACGCGCTTGTCTAAGGTTGGCTTCTTAAAGACGTCCGCCCTGAGCTCCATTAGAACCTTGGATCAGTGCTTCCTCCCGTCCTTTCTGCGGGAGACTCGCCAAAGGCCGAGCCCGAGAGGTTTCACACATCCATGCGCAGGAGCTCTGCCCCAGCGTCGCATCACTGACTGACTGACTCAATAGAAAAAAATACAACCATTGCGTTTTGAAGTTATTTGTGCTGTTTGATCTATGAGGGTCCTTTCACGCGTGCTGGCCGTCACTTGATGTTGCAGACAAGGCGTCGACTTATCCTGAGTTGCCACCGGTGGCACAATCTTTGTCTCCCGCTTCACATGGAGGGGAAAGGACCGAATGTCTCTTATATTGTTCATCAGTTTAGCGTTTCCCTGCTGTGTTTTCTGGATGGATGGGCTGAGGAGGCTAAAGCTCCAAATAAATATGAAATACCCTCATATTAATATATTTTTGTAAAGCATCCAAGCACGTTGTGCCTGAAGAGAAATCTTGCAAAGGATACATGGCTGCACTTCCCTTTTTAACTTCAAATTAGGAAACTCTGTCAGATGAAAGGGCAGCTTCCCTTTGGTGGAACTGCAGCTTCATTTGATCATATCTTTATTTGAGTGTTGCCTGAACAATAGGAACCTGAAGGGAAAGAATGAAGAAATTGCGTTGCAGTTGATCCTTTGATTCTGACAGAGGGAAACTGTTGCGCGTTTATCAGATTAGAACTGTCCAGAAGTGAGTGTGTGAGCGCGCGCGCATGCGCGCATTATATATATATATACGGTATAACATATAGGAAAACTAATCAGGCGACTGGGGGTTGTGTGCACGCACGTCCACGGGCGCGCGGAAGAGTGCTCTTAAGTACCACAGCTCCTTCAATCCCCATCTGGATAAGATTCAAGTCTCTCCCTCGGCTTACAGTAATATACTCTGCCAACCTTGAGGCTCTTCCCCCCTCCCCCCCTACAAAAAAGAAAAAGAGGGATTTAATGAGGCCGAGCTTAGACCCTTCTATAATTTAGAGGATTCGCCAGAGCTGTAAAATGACAATGGGGACATGTGTAGTGCAAGAGAGGTGAAATCCCATCCAGGGACAAAGTTGCTTATTTCTGAAGGAGCTGTCATTTCCAGCAGGGGGGACACAATGGCAGGGCCAGGAGGGACGGAGCTCTGATCTCCACCTCGGAGAGAGATAACCACCTGATTAAAATGGGCCTCTTGTTCTCTCGGTTACTCGATCGTCGTGTGAACTTGCCTTACTTACTATTCTGGGCAAAGACGACTCAGTCTCCCCAGATTTCAATGCCCTGAGAACTCCCCTCCCTCCTCTTTCTCTCTCTCTCGCCGCTTCGCTTCGCTTTTCCTTGGAGCATCATCACGGCCAGTTCTTAGGCAGCCGACACTTAGGTCTAGGAGGATTCACGGGTCACGAAAAACGCCGGGGGCTTTAGGAGCACATAAAAGTTTCGCACAGCTATGGCGCATCTATTATCACACACACACACACCCAAAATGGCACAGGAAAGATCCGCCCCTTTGCTATACTTTTTACCCTTTGACGGCTTGGGCCACGCATAAGGCTGGCTGTTCACAGGTTACTTAAATCTGTGCACTTGTATGTGAGAGATATGTACATTTGGATTTTGAGCGTATTTATCGAGTTTTGTGGGGATTTACTGCCTAATAAGTGTGTTCAGAGTTGAAGCCTTGCACTGGGACACGCCATACAAAAACTTCACCAGACCTTTCAAGGGCACCCTGGATAAATGACGGGAGGATTGCTCCTGAGTTGCTCCGAGGTTCTTGGCTTATTTCACCTATAGAAGGATGGTCATCTGTCATGTATGATCTAGGAGGTCGGACTAGATGGCCCTTGGGGTCCCTTGCCAAGTCCACAATTCTATGATTCTAGTTATTTCAGATATCTGGGTTCCTAACCACGCTTACTTGGAAGTAGGCTTCATTGGATTTAATGGCTGCAACTCCAAAGTAAACACGTTTATAGCCAACGCCTCTGCCTAATTATTGCTATCTGTCCTATGCGTATTTACGCAGAAGATCAACCCCATTGAGTCTTAAGTAAAGGCGCGCGAGATTGTGGCCTTCTTAACTAGGAAGAAAGTACTACAAGTTGCCTATTGACATATTTAGGATCTGATTTTTCCTTGAAAAGAAGTGGGACTGACTTCAGCAGCAGTACCGTTTGTAGAACTGCGTCCATACAGGCCAATTCTAAACACGTTTCTGCAGCAGTATATCCCCTTGACTATGACTCAGTTATAATTCAGGTGCTTCTGTTGAATAAGATTGGAGGTCTTTCTACAAACTTGCTATTCAAGTGTTAAGCGCTGTCCACTGCTTTGTAGATAAGTATTTTATCTGCAATTTGCTGATCAAAGCAGATTCCCCACCCCCCGGTACTTTTAATAGATTCGGATCCCACTCCAGTTCAGGCAATTAATTCAGAAAAAGAGATTGAAATATGCACCCTGATCTCCTCTGCCTCGCCCCTATCTATAGGATTCTGGTGCCCGCTTGTTTCTCATTCCCGTCGCCCTAAAGGGCTAAATTTTCTGTAAAGATGGGAAATAATAATAATTCATTATTTCTACCCCGTCCATCTGGTGGGTTTCCCCACAATTTCCCCACCGACCGCTGTCCTAGCCAAATTAGCAAGAAATCCCTATAGATCCCAAATGATTATTTGGTTTCGGATCTCAGGTCTTCCCTTTGCAAGGAAGCCAGCCAGACTCGCCCAGTACGGGGTAAGAGAACTGGTTGGCCCGGGCGGGGCGGGAGGAAAGAACACCCCGCCCGTATCAACAAGTTCCCAAAGGAATAAAATATTATTTCCCTTTGGTGACATTTCCCCGTCCCTCTCCCAGCTCCCCCCCCCGTCTCTTTTCCTCTCGACGACCTTATCTGACCGAATTCTTTGACAACCAGATCCTAAACACAACGTTTCCTGTGGAAGGAAGCGCCTTGATTTCAGTAAAAGTTAATTTCATATAAAGGCGTTTAGGATCACCGTTTTAGCCGCCGATCTTTCTCTTCCCCTCTCCACAACAGGTGTCTCTGAAAGCCGCAACTAGCATTTTCGCCCCTTCTTCCTTTGAAGGCTCTTATTTAAACAGGCCGGGGACAAATAGACAGCAATATTTCAGACCATTTCTTTTGAAAAAAATATATAGTTTTGCGCATTAAAGTTAAAAAGCAGGGGGAGTGGAAAAACTTAATCCACTCTGTCAGCCCTGATGGTGAAGCTGAAGGATTTATCTGGTCGGTCTTTTTTCTCCATCTACCCATCTACATATCCTTGAGAAACCAGCCTGTTGGTTCTCAGTGGGGTTTTCTTGCAGGTAAAAGGTTTGTAAGATTTGGGCATAAATCGTCTTAAATTCTAATATTGCATGTGTGGTGGTGGGGCTCTTTTCGTTGGACTGACCTGTGTTTGAGCAGGAGAGGAAAATACTTTTGACAAAAGCAGGAGTGTTGTATAAGCGGTATATATATATATTTTAAAAATATCAAATTAATCTAGGGAATACCCAAATATTTATGGCAGAATCTAGATAGAAAGATCTTCTGCATTTTGCGCAACTCGCGTTTATTTCAGTGGGCCTATATTGGGCAGAAGAATTTCCAGAGGAAAGTCCTTTCACAGAGAATCTGCAAGGCTAATGTAATTCTGTCTGTCTGAATAAATGGATGATCAACTGAATCTCTCTCACACATTCTATTATGGCCATCTCTTGTGAAGACAGGAATTGCACGAAGTGCAAATCTGTTTCCTGCTATTATTTTTATTCTCTGATTATTGACAGTCTATTCTCGGACTATTTATTTCAATGTTCCAAGTTAGGATATCTGATCTCCTAAATGCCAGTTAATTGCCAGGAGATTATC